AAGTAGTCAAACAAGTGAGATCTGATGATCTCGCTGGCCAATACATTGGACCATTCCTACTACCGCTCTCTCCTGAAACTTTTTAACCGTCGTGCTGAAATTCCCTATATATATGAATGTTTTCTACATATTCAATTATTTGAGATACACACATATATATTCTATACATTCAATATGCAGTTTGTCTATAAAGTCCTTGAGCAACTTGTTGTTTCGGAGTGGAGCAAATTTCATATTTGATAATGGTCACTTTCACAGACAAGGTTCAAAGTCTGACAGTAGTCAACAGTTTCGGTCTGCTGAAAAATAGTTTATGCTGATTGTCTTCCAACTGTAGAAAAATGTAATTAATGTATTGAAGTACTGGGTGGGGAAGACTTGCTAGCTTATGATAGATTTCAACAGCAGCTAAGAATTTACAGTTTCAATTACCTAATTAAGAATATCCGTTATTATTCTAAATCAGTACAAAGACTTTCATTTTGTTTTCCCCTTACTAAAAGGGCTCTTAACTTATGATCAGCAAGCAACGGAGGAATGAGCTCCCAAAGCAATTAAAGAAATAGAATTGTGAAGAAGGAATATCAGTGCGTTTTATTATAAAGTGCGGTGACCTTTCTTAATGTTTAATAGTAAGTTGCCGCCAAGAAAACCTTTGTATCTTTAATTATTGATTTTTAACTAAAATTTAATTAAATCCTTTTAATTTGACAACATATTTAGATAGAAAGCATAGATATATATCAGATAGAAAGCAAGCTGTCCTATACAAAAGAAATTTTGAAATATGTCATTATTTTAACTTATATTTCAGTCTTAAAAATTAATATAATTGCCACAAATTCATTTCATTAGTGAAACTGGCAAGTCGTAACCGAGGAAAGTGTTTGAGTTGAAACTTATTATTACTGAGATTCAAACTGAGATTTAGACAAAACTTCTGTATCGAGCTATGAGTGACCGAAGACAAATAGAAAAAGACGAAAGTACTAAGCAAAATCATTTTTCAATTTATTTAAATCCAACGAAAATGTGAGTGGAAAAAAAGGCTAAGGAATAAATTTTAAAATTTGACCCAAAGAAACAGAAAAATCAACTTAAATAAAGCGAAGCAAGTTATGAAATACAAACTCTATAGGCATCTGGAATCGTGTTCTGGTATTTTAATTGTGGATAATCTCAAATTAAAAATTTTGACGTGCTATTATAATCGATGATTTTATTTCTATAATTTTTTTTCACATTTTAATGATAGAAATAAATAATGATATGATGATTATTTATTTCTATTTTTTTAGCAGTGGTTGTTAATAAAATATAATTCATTAATGAAAGGAAAGCATGTGAAAGGAAATTTATAAAGGTGCAAAATTTAAGATAAAAATTTGAAAACACACTAAGAGAAACACTGAAATATGCTAAAAACATTCAATTAAGATCAGAAGCAGTTTACTTAGTCAGCCAGTCCTTAAATCATTTCCAACACGCGAATATCTTTAAAAATGTTTTCCTCGAAAAATGGACAATTAACGGAGCTTTAAAGTGTTTTGCATTTTTGAGCTTCGTCAGTACACGCCAGTGTTCAAACTAAAAAGAAATCCAAATCTATATAAATAGCGAGTTAAACAGCGATGCTTTGCCTTTAAGCGGAAAACTACAGCAGCATCTCTTCATGAGGAATTAGGAGAGTGGGTGGCCTTAATCCTTTTCTTAATTTTTTCCATTCGTTTAGTTATATATTTTTCTTCAGCATATTTTTATAACTCTACTAGTAGAAATACCCGATGCCAGTTACGTTAGATTGAGAATAACAACAGAGAGAAGGATACCGCTGCATAATCCTTCTCTGATAATGATGCAGAAAATACGATTCATTAGTCATGCATTTTTCAATCTGATGCGATATGGAACCCACATAGAGAACGTCAAAAGGAAAAGGAACTAATTCTCTAATTATATCAACAACAATGATACGCACTTTTTAATGACTTTCGTCCTTCTAATGAAACGGCTGTAAAAGCTCAAGTTCCATCCAATATTTCACCTATATTCAATTTTAGTCGATTAAATGTGGCAAAAATGGACATAATTGATCAGAAATCTATAAGGCAAACAAACAAAATATTACAGACTTCTTTATATATATAGATGTTGTAAAACATACAGATTTTTGATTAACAAACTCTACGATTTGAAAGCGAAGATTAGCAACACTTTTCGAAATTAAGCATTTTTATCTCCAACGCTCGAGACTTTTGCCACTCCGGAAAAATAAATGCGAAAATTAGTGTTTTCAGAGTTTTTAATTAATAGTTTGACTTATTAAAGTCGTACGAAAATGGGAATAGTCGAAATGGCTTTCCACGAATTTTTGTAATCGGGAATAATGTATTTAATGTTTGTCAATGTTATTTTTATTTCATTGTAAACATTTTTTATTAACAAACTCTAAGATTTGAAAGCGACACTTCTGGAAATAAATCAGAGTTTTATCCCCAGCCTGCAAGACTGTTGCCGTTTGGAAAAATGAGGGCGAAAATTAGTGTTTTCAGAGTTTTTAATTAATATCTCTAAATTAAGCTTTTTTTTTTTTTTTTTTTTTTTGAAAAAAGTGGATCCCGACCTTTTTTAGGACCAAAAAATAATTGTAGAAAGTTATGTGACGATACCTGTAATAGTGACAAATTGCAAACAAACACACAGACATTTTTCTTTATATATATACAGAGAAAGTCTTTTCTCTCGACTTTCAACATGCCTTCGTGGTGTAACGGTAGCACACTCTGCTCGAGAGGTCCAGGTTCGAGTACTAGAGAAGGCATTGCACAAATGTCATGCCTCATACTTCAGAAAATCTAATAATTCTGCAGGAGCGCCCGAACTAAAAGGTGGCTGACTTGTAATACGTCATTACCAAGATTTGACGATTGAGTCCATTAATTCTCAGTCGTTGCCCTTTAGAAGGTGGAGTATGCAAGGCATTTTCTCCCTAGTTTCAGCATGCCATCATGGTATAACGGTAGCACACTCAGCACGTATTCGAGAGGTCTAGGTTCAAGTCCCGGCGACAGCATTGCTAATTTTTCATGCCTCCTGCTTCAAAATAACCTAATGACTCTACAATTCTCACTACATTTGAAAAGGATATCGCGCTTAAAGGTGATTTCGCAGTTTCTGTCTCTTTTCCTGCTTAAAAAAACTGAAGTCTAATTACCAAAAAGACTAAAGTGTGGAAGCATTCACTAGAGAACGATGGTCTTATCTCTAGTTTTAAGATTTACAAGATAAATTATAACTTTATTATGTTGTACTGAGTCTATATATAAGAACGAAGAAATAGCGTATTTTGCTACTATGAAGTTAGAAAAAACGATTGCAGCATTTTCAAAGATTTCTCACTTTTGTATCTAAATGCTGAGTTGCCTATCTGATACCTTTTATTTCTTGATCGAAGAGCAGGATTTTTTCCCAAGGCAGTAGTGATATGTAAAAAGGGTTGAGAAGATCATTAAATAAGATTTTCTCCTTACTTAAGTTTGCAGAGACATTAGGTATTTTTTTTGGAAGGAGGCAAGATGAAAAATTAGCAAGCGCCTTCACCGGTAATCGAACCACGGACCTCTAGAATAACGTCTCAGCGTGCGGAACCACTACACCACGAAGGCACGCTAGTAAAGCGGGATAAATACCTTATAAACTCCCCTTTTGAAAGGGCGACTGGGGTTTTTTTTAGGGTACCCAATCGTCAATTCCTGGGTGTGGAGAATCCTCGTCCAGACCCTTTTTAGTTCGGGCGCCACTGTAGAGACATTAGGTTAATTGGAAAAGCCGGAGAGAATAAATATGAACAACGCCTTCGCCGAGAATCGAACCTCTGGAATACCGGCCCAGCGTACACAACCACTACACCACGGAGGCACGCTAGGAGGGCGGGAGAAATACCTTATAAGTTAAGAATAAATTTTCTACCATAAATGGTAGAAATTTGAAGCATACTTTGATAGGTTAAATAAGGCGAAATTCAACAACACAGAAGAATATAATGTTAAATGTTTCTGAAAATATTAATGTTAACTTTATTAGAGTAGCCTTTCAAGCCCCGTTATCTGTAATAACTCGTAAATCAGTGACATTTTAATCAGGACCACATGTGGAAACAAATTATTGTATTACACATGTTCACTGCAAATATTTTCCCCTATTTTGTACATTGTTTTGCCCTTTGTACTAATAATTCCTAATTTCCTTCGTAATACATTTACAAAAAAACGAATAGAAATTGCCCTTACTATGTTTTATTTTATGAATTTTCATTTTATTTCTTATAGTCTGAAAACTATGGGACTATATATAAATATGAAATAATCTACCAGATAGTACATAGTATGATGAAAAGGATAATATGATATCAGAAACAACGCTAATGTCTCAGACTAGACTTTTTGTTCTTTTTCGCCATATGCATTTTTCATACTATTTTTCTATATACACTTCATCAAGAAAGAAAGAGAGCTGTAAGATATACACAAAAATGTTATTTTGCGAAAATCATAATTCAAAATTTTATAAATCATAATTTCTTGAAGATGAAAATTTAACCTGTTGAATTAATCGAGTTTTGCGGATTCATTCTTTTGTCATGCTGACAAATCATATTATTTTTTGAAAATTGCAACAGATAATTTTCAGTTATACAAACGACAGTTATTTCTTTCTGTCAGCTAAAGTAAAACAATAAGGCAGCCTTTTTCTATATACTTTTCCTATAAAGCGAATTATTGCTGTTTATTTTGTGATTCTGTATGAAACAAATGCGATTTTGCAGATTAGCAACTACTACTTATTTCAAATAATCATCTGCATATTTTTAGAATAACAAAAGAGCAAAAACTAATCATTATCTTATCCGCCTCGCGATGATTTTATCACAAGCTTACAACGTTTAGATATAAGGATAAAAACTGAATAGATTTGATAATTATGTCCTTTTACGCATTAAGTTAACGTTTCTAAACATAATGGCTGTGAGATGTAATTCTGAAAAAGTAGCTAAATTCATTCTCTGGACTTCTGTTGTTATCCTAATTGTATCAACAGTTTTCTTTATAGTGTTTCCCTCTATTTATAAAAACCAGCTGAAGAAGCAAATAACACTGACAGAGGGTTCAGTGATCACCACTATTTGGAAAGATATACCTTTGCCATTATATGAGAGACTATATTTTTTTAATGTTACGAATCGTGATGATTTTGTAAGAGGAGATCCATTAAATGTTTCAGAAGTTGGTCCTTATACTTATAAAGGCAAATGGGTGAAAAAGTATCCTCAGTGGAATTCAAATGGTACTGTATCTTACAGAGAAACAAGAACATATCATTTTATACCAGAAATATCCGTTGGAAGTCAGGATGACGAAATTTTTACATTAAATGGACCTATGGCGATTGCTGCTAATATGATAAAGAATTATCCTTGGTGGTTAAAAATAATAGCCTCTGCTGCTCTAAAGATAAAAGACGAAAATCTAATTACTCGGAAAAAAATACGAGAACTTGTATATGATGGTTACAATGATATAATTATAAAAATAGCACCTACTATTAAACCTGACATTCCTTATAAAAACGGACGTTTTGCTTGGTTGTACGGCAAAAATGCGACGGATGATGGTGTCTACACTGTTTTTACGGGAGCAGAAAACGCTTCAGTAACGAATTTTATTAATACCTGGAATGGACAAGAGCGACTGGATTTCTGGAAAGGTGACGAATGTAACATGATGAATGGCACCAGCATTGAAACTGGTCCGCCTATAGATGGATATCAAGAAACTTATACTTTTTTTCAATCTATTTTCTGCAGATCTCTCACCTTCAATTACACTCGAGATGTAACGCATTACGGATACTTTCTAAAAGATTCGAAGCTACCTATGAAATTTTTGCAAACGGTAGTGAAAATCCAAACAATTATTGTTTTGATGTACAGCCAGGTTTAGCATCTGGAGTATTGGATGTCAGCCCTTGCCAATTTGGTGCACCTGTCCTCATTTCGTTTCCTCACTTCCACATGGCGGACCCATCCTATTTGAAAACAATAAATGGTCTTCAGCCAAATGCAGAAAATCATAATTCGTACATGGATGTGGACCCTCTTACAGGCATGTCTCTTTATTTGAATGTTGGGTTTCAAATCAATGTTCAGTTACAGAGAGTGAAAGGAATATTTCAATTGGATGATATTCAAGAAGGCATCTATCCAATATTTTGGGCTGCACTTAGTTTAGAAATTGACCAAGATATGGCAGATTTTTACTACAGAAATGTAAAGAGGCCAGAAATAATTGGATATGGAGTTTTAAGTGCAGTAATTTTTCTTTGTATAATAGGCATTATAGTTTCCCTTATTATTCTCCGGAAGAGAAAGGGAGATTTTCCTTTAATTAATGAAGAAGAGAAATTATCGAAAAGTAAAACACAAAATTACAAATCCTCGAAACATTCAAATTATGGTAGTCAAGGGACTTTAAAATGTGATGAAGCAGGTGAAACTGTTTCTTCAGCAATAGAGGAAGAAAACAAAGCTTTAGATTTGGTAGGTGATGATTCTGCCTTGACGATAAACAATCCGTAAGCTGGAGAAGCTATGAAATCGTAAGTATTTATTTCTGAATCATTTATCTTTTGAATTTTGAAAGTACTATTAAACTTTGAAAGCAGTATTAAATTAAAAAGAATGTCTTCTAGTTAAAAGTTTTAAACTGTGTGTTACAGTTTATACAAATTTCTTTTTGAAATGGAACATAAGAATTAGCCAATTTCTAGAATCTTGATGAAGATTATAAATTCGAAAGGTCAAAACTTCGCCCCTCTTTTTGTCCTTCAACATATTTGAATTCTCATATAAAATTGGTATATATTTTAATCCAAAATTTTAGAAACATCAATTTTATTGAAGAGCAATATACGCGCTGTTTAGCAAAAAATTTACCCTATTCAATTTTATGTACACGAGCAATGCTCTACTAACTAGAAGTGTAGTGTCTTAAATATTAGAACTTTTATAAACTCTCAATTATTAAGTTTTTTTTGGAAAATAATTTAGCCTTTTATGTTTAGTGTTTATCTATGATAACTCTTGAAATAATTTTCCCCTTTAACACTTGGTTTGATTTTCAATAAATAATCATAAAATATCTGAAAAAATCTATAAGAATATGAACATAAAAAATCTGAACTCTTAATGTAATATTTTTAAAAATTTATTTATTCATTTATTTATTCATTTTTGGTTTTAATTGTCTTAAGGGAAGTATTCAAGAATTTTAATTATATATTTTATTTCCTAATTTTTTAGCATGTAGATACAAGTATATTATTAAAATCTGCATTCTTAATTTCATTTTTCATTAAAAATTGATTTCAAATTTTACTTTAATTAAAAGCTTTTAATATTAAGTAAAGCCTTTTCTCTTCTCCTTTTTTTCTTGAAAAACCAGATTCAACAAAAATTTAGGATTCTTTCCCCCACTAACTTCTTTAAGCAATTTTAAGGAATTTTGTAAGTAATAATTTTAACAAAATTTTTATGCTTAATTTTATCAAAATTTTTGTGCTTGATTTTACAGATATTACTAGAATATACTAGCACAGTAAAATTTATGAAAAAAAATATAGCATTTTTAACGCATTCTTTCCATAACATTATTACATAAGAATTCAAACTAAATTTTAGAGTTAGTTACCTTACTCTGTAATCTCAGCTGTTATTAACAATCCCTCAACATTCGTTTCGTACAGAAAACTGAAATTTTACATGAACAAACAGAAGAACAAAACAGAAATAAGAAATAATAATAAATAAGAAATTTGAGAACAAAACAGAAATATGAAAATTACATTTAAAGTGATTTTTGTACTTAACACTGATGCACTGGAATTTTAAAAGAAATAATAAAACTTATGACTATTTGTATTTCTTAATTATTATTATTATTATTATTGTAATTTAGAAAGTACGGCCCACCAGCGGGCAAGCGATAAAGTCTCTGAACACTGATAGTTCGGTCCGAGGTTCGAATTCCGCGAACGGGAAGGCAGTATGGGCGGTTTCGTCGTTTTCCCCATGTGTAACGTGCATACGAACCACTTTTCACTAGAAAGTCCTCCACAAAGGCATCCCTTCTCTTAGGCAGATAGCCCTCGAGGATTTGCCGTAATCACATAAACCAAAACAAACTTTCATAAAGTATGTCAGGACTAGTGTTTCTCTTGATTTGCTTTGCAAACATGAATGGTACTGAATCTGAATCGGAACAGGGAGTTTACTCAAGCTATGTTCAAGAAGGTGTGAAGTAGACAACACAAGCAGGAAGGGTATACGAAACCCTTTATTTTCAATCTTTTACACGTACTTCCGAACTTCGGAATACAGAAACCAACCACTTGTGGTCTGAACGTAAGAATATAAAACTACTAACTAAAACTCTAACTAAAAGCTAACTTTGATTAGTATACAAATGCCTAGCACTAAGACTGGCCTTGATTTAAAAAGGTACGTATGTAGTACGCCGAGCTGCTTAAACTACAATACGTTTGCAAATATCAAGAGGGCTAAACCCCTGGCCATTAAAGGCAACCAGCAATCGAGTGAAAACTCGTAAAACTACAGTGGCAAGCGGCTTGCTTCCTAGAACTCCTTCTCTCTCTCGCTTGGCAAAAAGCCACAACTTAAGTACTTGGGCGTTAGCAAGACAATTTGCATAAACAAGTTGAAGCATTTAATTCTGGCGAAAGTAGAAAATAAGAAGGGATAGTACAGTTTTAAAATAAAAAATAAACGTTAGTAAAACTAAGGATCCTTACAAGTAAAATATAAATAGGCAACTTAATTCCGAAAATATATATACTAGCGAGAGGAGAATGAAAAATTCATTTTGCTGTCTAAAAATATACGCATATTTTTGGAGTCATATTGTCTAGTAATTATAAGGATTAGATAGAAAGTAATTACAACACTTCGATAATTTTGAAAACACTTCATTACCATAGATACAAATATTTACAGTCCGTCAATATGTTGGCCACCTTCTACCAAATTACTGGAAGGTGTCGTACACCATCCGGAAATCGGCTTTTTTTGAACTGACTGCCCTGAAGCAAGGATAATTTTCGGTCTGTTGATGTAACGAATCCCTTATAGTGGTCCTTTCGTTTTGGCGGAGATGTCGCAGTTACGTAGATCCAAATGAAATGAGTATGATTGGGTATTCCATTAACCACTCCCATTGTTGCAAGAAATACTTAATAGATGTCACAATATGATACCATGATTTGTCATGGAGTACGATGGGATTTATTTATTTTTTAATGGCCCAGCGCTTTATTTAATAGCCATTACCCTTGTGCCACTGCAATGGCCGGACGTGGAGGCTATTTCATCAATGAAGCACCTGATAGATGGCCACCGTTGCCTTCTATAAAGGGGCGGACAGTTACAACCATGACCTGCACTCAGCAGAAAGAATTTCCTTTTATTTATATCAAAAGATGATAAATAAGAAAGTTTTTTTTGTTTCGTTTTGTTTGTTAATTAATGGTTTTATCACAAATGTAAAAGCATTTGTATTTCAATTTCTAGCTAGACGCTTGAAAGAAATTATTAAGCATATACTCGCGAATTTTCCAGTAAAAGCTGTAGTTTTTATTGCGATTAATGAAATAGTCAATAAATCCTCTTACCCACAATACTAAAACGTTTTTCAAAGAATTCTATCATTTGAAGCTTCAATTGCTCATCTAGGGTCAATATTTAAAGGAAATGAAGCCTGTGCCTTCATATTATGCAATGTATCGATGTACTGTATAAATTTCGAACAACCTGTCTACCTTCTTCAGCTTTTAACACATTTTGAAATTCGCTTCTAGTTAAGTCAAATCAGGTTAACGCAAATATGTTACAGATTTAAAACCTGAGTAGTTGAATTTGTGTTGATGTAATTGTGTAAATGAATAAATGGAAAGACAAAAAATTCATTTCCCTTTCCTGAAATCAAAAAAATCTGAAAGGTTTCAGATTTTAAATTACGTCCAAAGGGGCGTTTTTTTTAATGTTTGTGCGTTACCTTTATTTATTAAGTATTATGTTCAATGTACTCAAATTATAAAAGTCAGTTCAACAGCAATATCGTAAATTAATTTTAAAATGAGCATATTTTGAGAATTTCCGATGCAGAGTCTCGCGCATTGGAGATAAAAATATTTTTTTTCGTACAGGTTTGCCATTGCTCGTTTTGAAGCTGTTTACTTTTTTAATCAAAATCAAATTTCAAATTGAAATTAGGGCTTCTACATGCCCATATTCTATGGAAGATTACGTTATTCAAATTTTGATGGCTGTATGTAGCGTTATTTTATCACAATGGGAAAAACATACATACATTTATGAAGATTCTTCATTATTAAATTTCTTTAAATATAAGACAGGGAGATAATATATGGTGGCAACGATTTGAAAAGTGATACAGCCTTTTAAAGTTTTCGACGCAAAATACCAAAACGAAATTAATAGTCCTTCTGGGCAAATTGCCCTTTTGGACTAATAAATTTAAATGCACAAATTTATCTCGAAAATGATAACAAAGACTGTTTTTGTTCAATGATAAGATGAAAAGACCGCACAATTCTGTGCTGAAGTAGATAATAAATGACAATACAGCATCTTTATTAATAACAATAAAGCTGTAAATGTTTAATTTTTAATTGCATATTTTACAAAATAATTGTTTTTAAATTCTATCATTTAAGAACAAAATTAAAAAATTAAAAATTAAGAATTAAATTATTAAATGCATTTAATTTTTCTAAATTTCTCAACTTTGAATGCATTTGCACTTTGTAAGAAGACCTGAACATTTCATGTCGAGTAGATTTCTAAGAACAGACATTTGCCAAGTTTCTCCTAACGGCAATATTTGCTTGGTTGCTTTAGTGAAGCAAACTATTTTAGAAAATTCTGATAAAGGCATTTCTAGCTTCAAAAGGCTAGGGAAAAATGTAATAGCAATAACATAATGCTTGTACTTAAATTATGCAATTACTTTGTAATTACAATTACAATGCAATTTCTTTTTCAATTAAAA